GGCCTGATTGGATCCTGAGACAACACTCGTCAAGTGACTCAACCCCGTCTAACCAACAAACTGAGGCTGAGCCTCATGATAGATGGGCTTAGTCTTAGTATATCGATCTTTAACTATTTTAGTCTTGAAAAAACCGAATATTTGAGCAAACACATTAAGTGGCGTTTGGAACTTTAGCCCTGAAACATAATTTCTAAAATTACCTACTAATAAAGACAGGACACGTATTTAAACGTACATCAAAACCTCTAATACAAAGACCACATGACTCAGAAAATAATAACAACAATGAGGATAACCATAACCTGACCTGGATCTACCCTTGACCTCGCCATGTGCGCGCGCGTAATTTGAAACGCCCTCAACTCGCTCAAGTCGAGATTCCCGACGACTTTTTTCGTGGAGTGTCTGCATGATGTGGCGTGTGATGCTAAAATCAAGAAGTTTTTTGAGTTCTATTTTGTAATATAATTTCTTCAACGTAAGAGAATGAATGTAGGTTAGAGACCTACAGATTAACTACCTAGTTTAGACTAGACCTCTACTTTAGCTAGGTCAGGGTAGGTAGGTAGATGGCCTACTAGGCCAGCGACAGTAAGTGAAGGACGAAAGGAAGGGCCAGGGCAGGCGCTACACCAACGAGCCTAGTTAGCAGGGCCGGGATTCGTAGGGACTCTATAATTAGGCTTACTGAGGCATGCCTGAAGAGACCAACAATTCCTTGCTGAGTCTGAGACTAGAAGAACAGATGCCTACATACCACACCGTAAGCACACAAGTCATGGGTTCATTTCATACAAATTTTAAAAAATAACTCGCATTTGCACAGAAATTCTTGGGAGAGTGGTATAAAGGGCACATAGCATAGGCCTACGTAGAGAAAAATTTTTAGATTATCACTCTTTTTTCAAAAAAACAATTGATGAGAGCGGGAGGTTTTTTTTTTATACCCGGGGAGTCCGGTGTACATGAACAGAACGAACATGACATTGTTTTTGAAGTGGCTGATGCATTTAAACAAATGCCCTGTGATCCAATGGCCTATCCAAAACTAGGCCTAGGCTATTATTCTGGTGAAAAAGTCAGACATTACTCGAGCATCAAAGGGAAGGGAACACCCTAATTGTAGTATAGGCATAGGCGCCTAGGCTTTTTTCTTTACCTCCAGCTAGGCCAGCCTTTGCCTAAACTTTCTTTGTTGATGTCGTAGTTTAGTTTTTGCCCAACAACAACCAATCCAATCAAACACACCCATCACAAGACAGACTTGTAATGCATTATGTAACAAGTTATTTTTAGAAGCGAGAGTCTCTGTGGAACATGTGAGTCTTCATGTTGTGAATCAACGATCCGATCAGCCCACTGGGCGGGTCTCTTTAGGGACAGACCGCTTTGTTGTTTATTTTTAACCGCAGTTAGCAAGCTGTTATCTTAGCAACAGTAAACAAGTATAAAGAATGGCCTTTGCATTTTCAACTTTACGACGATCTCTATGTCTAATCTAATCAATTGGAAGAGTTTATAGTCTGCCGAATTCGGAACCAATTCCTTTATATTTTGTGAGAATTTGTTTTTTGCAGAGTTGTTTTTATTCAGTTAAAATAATTGAGGCGACAAAAAAAAAAAAAAATAAATATAAATAAATAAATTTTTTTTTTAATTATTCCCGCATCAATATTTCCAAAATTTTTGATGCTGATGGTAGGGAAATCTAATAAATTTTTATATTTGCCCTTGCTATTATTTTTTATGAATTATACCAGACTGTGTGGGGAATAGTTCTCCATGCAGAAATATTAAATAGAATACTTATTATATATTGGCTCTGAACCATCACTATACCTGCACAGAAAAAAAAAAATTGTTACCTATCATGTAAAACATACTACCAGACTGTATAGTAAGGCCTGCATGGGGAATATATCCTCCGCGCAAGTATTTGAACTAGAAATCCGCATTTTGGAAAATAAGGTCAATCAGATTTTGCCGAGAATTTGGCTTTGACCAAATGCTAATATAGAAGCACTGCAATTACGATTCCGCGCACCTATTTTCCTGGCGATTTTCTATGCAAATTTGAGGTGATTTTTTAGATGTCCTCCGGCATGCAATTAAAAAACTTTACAGTAGTAGGTGTAACTATACTTGAAAACAGTTTGACAATGGGATTCCAGTGGAATCTTTCTGGTGGTGAATTGAGCAGTACATTGTTAATCCCCTACTTTTTTTTTGAAGCGTGTACTGCTTTTTTTAACAAGCACATAAGCCATTTCTGTTTGAACTTAACATGAGCTTAAAATGTTTTTTAATTCTCATAGATGTCGCTGCTGCAAGTCAAGGGCTGGTTGAAAGCTCAACATATACAGGTCCATGATGAGTGGATAGAAGCTTGCTTGGATTGGCTTATGTCCGAGCATCAGGTACGATAGGAGCCAATAGATGTATGAAAGAGTAAAAAAGTAGAATTTTCATATGGTTGACAGAATGCCCTGTAGTGAACAATTGTAGACTTTGGGGGGGTGGGTGAACCACAATTCGTCGGGAGAAAGTAACTGGTATGGTCCAAAGAAAAAATTACATCGCTTAAAAAAGCCATGGAAACCCTTAAATTGTCCAAAATTTAAATTTTTGATGGTGGCTTCGCCCCCTATACCACTTTCAAAACCTTTTAAGCGATGCTTGACCAATGCTCACTTTGCACTCATTGGGGAAATCTTCCTCATCCAGGGCATCGGGTCCCCTGTTGGGGACCTTGGACCCCCGTCGGGGAATTACTGGCGCCACCCCTGCAACCATTACAGTACCATTGGGAGTTCCAGGATGTTTCTGCGCCAATTATGGATGTACCGTAAAAACCTCAAATAGAAGCCCAATGGGATTAATCTCCAGAAGAAGTCCATCTCCGATGAAGTCCTCCTCTTTAGTTTGCAAAAGTAACCTTGAAAAGGAGCACATCTTGAAACTAAGCCATGGACTTCTTTTCAAGACAGCATGGGCTTCTTTTCGATATACTTTAGTACAGTACATACACTGTACATGAATTTCAAAGAAACAAAATAATTTAAAAACACGCTTTGTTTATTAATGGCTCTATTTATTATTTCAGGCCTATAGTAGTAATTTTCCAAATTTACAGCATTCTTTTTAAAAGAAGCCCACTCTTTACTTTGCAAAAGTAGCCTCGAAAAGAGGCCCATCTCGAAAAGAAGCCCATCCAAAGTTCACAAAAAAAGAGAAGCCCAGGCCTTCACATTCAAGGTTTTAAGATATGGTATGGTCCAAGGAGTAATGGTTTCTCCATTTTCTAGTGCATCCGGGGGTAACACTCTTGAAAGCATGTAATTTTTTTGCTGCTTCTCACCCCTGGATTTACTACTGTGTACACACAATGAATATGAATTTTAATTTGTGTATTTTCATTTCTGTCTGAACTTATTTTGGACTATTATTTTACCAGTAATTTCAAATGTGCTTGTGTTGAACATTCACTTAGGTGCCTTATTAAACAAGTCAATAATGACATTATCAGCAAAACTGAATTATTATTGAATGACCAAGATCCGTCCAATGATATATTTAATTCTTATTTACATATTTTTGTACGCGTCGTAGTGTTTTAGTTGTGCTTAGTTAAAAAGTGTCCCCTTAGCGCTGCAACTGTTTAGGACACATTGTGAATCATTTTCAAGGTACTGTATAAAGTTGGAAATTTGATGTTGATTAATAGTGTTGAATCTTTAAATACTGTGTAATAAATTAAATTTTATATTTACAGGGAAAAGTGTTAAATGATACCAACCTCAAGTCTATGGTGTATGAGCAGTGGTTAGATTCCGATTTGTCTGAAATAGCGCCACCTATATTGCCTATTGGCATCAACAAGGAGACAAAAACTGAGTTGAAAGGAAAATATGCTTTACAAGTAAGTAATTTGGGGTTTTTTTTTTTTTAATATTTTAAAATCTGTTAATTCTTCAAACTTATCAATGTAACCAGAGTATATATTTGAAAATATTACTTTTAATGTTGAATTTCAGTTTTGGTTATCAATTTATATTGAAAATTAAAATTAATAATGATACTGATATTGACGAAGTTGACTAGGATTACCATCATCGACTGATTAATAGTGATGATAATGCAGTGATGATAATTATGGTGATAACAATGATGCTACTGATCACTATGTAGATCAACAAGACATTTTCAGAATAATAAGCTGTTGGTGCAACGGTTGCATTTCGATCTCTCAACCATGAGGTCATGGGTTCGAACCTTGCTGTGCATTTCGCTTGTGCACATGGACAAAGCACTTTATACTTACATTTGTCTCTCTTTACTCAGGAATATAAATGAGTACCTGGTTCACTACTGGGGAGGAAAAAGGCGGCGTGGATAGGAACTGGCCACCCTACCACATAATGCTGAGGCTTTAGTACGATTGGCTAACAACCTATTCCCCTATACTCAGTAATGAATACTGCACTACCTTTTAGTCCTACATATCAAAGAATCACAACTATCTTATAAATTTGTTCAAACTGACAATCATATTTTCAGTGTATAAAAATTAATATCAAATATTTAGCTAATAATATGGTCAATACAGTAGAACCTCGTTTTTACGTACCCCAGTTATACGAACCCTCGGTTTTACGTACGCCTCGTATCGACGATGACGTCATCAAAACCCCGAAAATATTCAAAACAAACGGCCCTTTTTAGAGCAACCATAAGTAGAAAGACTATAACAATAAACTATAACAATAAACAAACCATAATGAAATCAGCAACGTTGATTGAGTGTAATACCGGGATGTTATAATCTAAAACCAATTGAACTGAGTGAGATGAACAACTACCGATGGTACTCAAAATGCACCATCGGTAGTTGTGCACATGGTTTTGCTGTTTCACGTACACGAACGCTAATTGGTTGGCTCGCCCAGTGCACATGGGTTTAGTGTCTCAACAGGCCCAGACAACACCACAGCTCTGTTGTTTAGAATAGGCATGAAGGGGAATTCCCAAGTTATACCTTTGTCGTATAGGTAATCTTACAATATTTTCATGTTCTTTTGTTAAATAAAAGACATAAAGTGATGAATTAATACACTAGACACATGGTTTTATTTCAACACTTTATTATGACATCGTAATGTGATGGATAAAAACACTAAACACATGGTTTTATTCGTAGGCCTAGAGGCTAGCCTAGCTAGGTAACATCGTTCGTTCATACATACGTATATTGAGCATTACGTACGTATTAGGTCAAAGGTTATCACAAATATAACCCAACCTCTATTTTACGAATCCCCCGATTTACATACACCCTCCGGTCCCGTATCGTACGTAAAATCGAGGTTCTACTGTAGTTTGTTTACTTTGCAAATAAAAAATTTAAAAAAAATTCTATTAACATTTATTTTTTTAATTGTTTTTTAGTAATCAGAATTTGTTTATGAGAAATGTTTACATTTTTTTTAAACAGATGAACTATGTTGAGGATGTCAGTGAATCCGCATACACTCAGCTTCAAAAGGTCAAAGGTAAAGAGAATGCTAATGTGTTTGTTACTGCGACACCAGCACCACAGAGCCAGGTGAGATTATGTTCTTTTCAAGGAGAAGAACAATAAAGAAAATAGTTCTATTTTTACATATAGGCCTAAGTACAGTAACACAAGGATGTTTGAATTTTCTTTTATTTATAACTAAAAACAAATATTGACTGCTCTTGATTCAGGGAACGTGAAGTCTATAGCCCCTCAGTGATGTGGAGACCGTAGCCTATCTTCCTTCAGCCCTCAGGAACTTAGGCTACGTTGTCCACATCACCATGGGGCAGTAGATTTCACCATTCCCGTCATGAGCAGTCAATATTTGTATACTATTTACCCAGTATGCATACATCACTATAACAAATCGTCACACATTAATGCCTAGTATAACATATACACTCATGTGTTTTCTACTTCAGTACAATGCAAAATCGAGTCGAATGTTGATGTTGTGTTTGACGGATGGTCATCAGAGTGTGCAAGCAATGGAGTATAAACCAATACGATGTCTTAGTACAAATCTACCACCAGGAACAAAGGTAAACCGATTCGCCATCAATTTACAATTCCATTTTTTATTTTCATTCTTCATTTAACATGAAGTGTTTTGTCACGAAAAAGTGGTGCTCATTAAAAGTATTTGAGTCTTTAAGTTGTGAGTTCATGATTTGAAACCAGAATATTTATAATAATATTAAATATTTATATAGCGCCAATTCATAACTTTATCAAAGGCGCTAGTGAGGAAAGGAAGCAAGTTAACATTCCAGTAATAGGAAAGTTTTTTTTATTTTCATAAAAGAATTTTATTTTTATAAAAGAAAGCAAATTAGACGAATCGTGGACAAAATGTGGAAGGAATTCCATGTAAAAGGGGGCTTGAAATGTTGATCATAAGTTTTGGATTTGCCTTTACGAGATGGAACTGTCAAGAAATTTTTAGATGAAGGATGAAGATGACGAAGAGGAATATATTGGGAAAGGTGATTTAGTAAATAAACAGGTTGA